TCTCCACAGTGTCCCTGATTGGGACCAATTTTGGTTCCAGTCGGGGTACACTTTTTGATCCAACTTTCTCCAAATTGAAATCCGTTCGCACCGTTGCGATCAGACAGTCGAATTCTATTCAACGATATACTTTTCATAATTATTTGTAATACTATTTCCGACATCATATTTTTGGGTGGTTGACTTTGATAGAGTAAAAATTGATTCAGTTGACCTTTATTCAAAAAGGTTCTCATATTTAACTCATATTAATTATTCTCATCATTTATTTCAATAAATCATTTTAATGTTTACATCATAATTAATTTCTTCATTTATTCTTGATTTGGGTCTGTACTCAGGTTCCCAATCAAGACCACACAAATAGTCAATAAATTGGATCTATCTCTATGAGATTTATCCAGATTTTGATATTAGATGTCAAAACAAATTTCACATCGGCCCAAAGCCCAACAATAATTTATTTTAATCAAAACAATTGTGATTAATTGATTATTTATTCATTAATAATTCTAGGGTATGTTTTAGGGCGTTACAATTCAGCTTCACCTACACTCTCAACATACAAATGAACAGAACCATACTCACACGCACACCTTGACATTTCCCATGTATCATCGGCAAATTGAAGGGGTTTCAAACTGTTGTGATAAGGGGTTCTATGATCCCTCCAATAATACCTAACCAGTCCATTAATTTCATTTTGCCAACAATTTATCAAGATACTTCATACACATTCTATCAACATCCACCGTCAACAAAATTTTTTTTTCATCGTAGTATCCAAATTCCCCTAAAACCCCATCATGGTGCACAATAATATCATAAACCAACATTTGTTGTGAACTCTCAGAAGTCTCTGAACTCTCTGAATCTATGGAATACAAAAAAACCCAAAATGAAATCCCCAATAATTTCATAAAACTGCACATTGTAACATAAAATCCTACCCATGGATGATGATGAGCAACTAAACCCCTTTAGAACAAGACATGCACTAACCTGACATGAGTGGAGCTTCCTTTCTTCTTCGCGAGTGCCACACAGAACAACAAGGGCGTCCTCTTCGTTTGGAATGAAATCGAAATTGAGAGAGCAAAAGACCTCAAACACACCTCCCTCTGTTGCGAAACTGAAAAACCTAGCAACCGTCTCGACAAATGAGAAAAAATGACCTTTCCCTTCCCCTTCTTTCCGCTATTTCTTCATCTGTAAGCCCAGTGAATAGCCTTGAACATTTCAACATGGATGATGCTGTGTCAGAGGAGAGATGAGATTTAAATGGGTGCGCCAAGTAGGCATACACGTAGGATAGGTAACCGGGTATTAACCTAGAAACCGGCTAAAATACCATGGGTAAAAAAAAGTGTTAAATTGAAAGGCAATGCTAGGGGTACACCAACATGGGGTACCCCAAGTGTACACTAAGCCAACACAGACACAAAATGTTTGTGCAAACAGACACTTTGTGTCTGTGTGTGTCTGTGTTGGCTTTGGTGTACACTTGGGATACTCCATGTTGATGTACTCGTAGCTTAATTCTAAATTGAAATACTTTTTTGAAAGAAAATAAAGTTAGTGTACCAAATTAAAATGAATTTCAAAGTTGGTGTACCCTAAATTTATCCGATGTTAGGGTTGAATTTTCACGTGAACTCTGTTAGGACCACACATTGAAATGGCCTTTTAGGCTTAGGGACGGAGTAAAGGAGCGAGTAGCAAAAGTCAGAAGGCAGTAGAAACTAGAAGGTAAAGAATGGCAGGAGAACGAGAGACGAAATCCGGAAATGGTAATGCTGAGACAGGGTCGTCAGTAGATAAAGACGAGGGAGAAATTGGAATGAAGCCATGGGAGCAACACTCTACAGTGATCAGCATCCCTCGCTTCGACTACAACGCTCCCTCTTCTATCCTTCGTCAATCTCACCTTGGCTTCCTCATCACCTGCCCCATCAGTCAGTCCCCTTTCATCCTCTCTCTTTCTGTATAGTGAAACCCTGTTAAGGAATGAATATTCTTATTCGGATTGCAAAGCTTACGGAGTTATAGATTTGTTTCAATTTTCCGCATTCCACATGTGGTTTGTTATTTGGTGTATGTGAGTGCTTTTATGTTTGTATATAACATGTATGCATGTATTTTGAATTAGAATTGCGGCACTATTTGTTTGGTTGCTGAACTGTTCTTGTTGCCGTTGATGATAGTTCATTATGGTTGTTTGGCTTATCTGCATTCTTGTCAAGAAGTTGTTTTCTCTTATTTAAATTTTAAAAATATGCATAATACTTTTCTGAGCTAATGCTCCAAGGGATAACAATATGGTGGTGGTAGAGTTGTGTCTACCTGCTCCGATTTCATACAATATTTTGGTACATACTTTCTCTCTCTTATTTGTTCTTGTCTTTGTTATTGTGTGTTGCTGGACATCCGGAATGTTTCACCCTCAATATATAAGCAGAAAGGCCACTTCTTAGGATGGTGGTATTTGTGTATTACGGGCATGATTTACATTATTGTATAGGATGGCTGGAAGTCAGTAATATGATTTCTTTGGATACATAACAGAGAGTAATGAGAATTTTTGTATGAACTGAAGTTAGATGTATGTTGATTCCATACAATTTGTTATTTGGCATATTTGATTTAAAAGTACACTCATATCAAGATTTGGACTAAATGGCCCTTTTTTAATTTTTGGAAGGAAAAATAGAACACCCGGGACAGGGAGTGGAACCTAGTAGTATTCTGTTAGGGATCAAGGGTTTTCAGGTGGTTAGTACCTCATGTTTGACCTCCATAGCACACATAGGGGTTTATGTTTACAATGCAACCAAATGTTTTTAAATAGTCATCATTTATACTTCCTAGTTCCTACAAAATGACAAAAAGAAATGGAATTTGTAGTAGATTGTTGACACTACATGTAATATTTGGCTCAATTATTATATTACTTACTGGCGTCCATTGCCAATTGAGCTAAAAGAGTAATTTTTTATGATGGTATAGCTTTGGGTAAATAATGGAGTAAATCTAAATGGCACATTAACTTTCCCTTGGCTCCTACTTTCGATGAAAGCAATAAATGAGCCAATGCATCAAGTATCTAGGGAAACAACCTCTCCTTTTTTACTGGGGTAAGGTTCCATACTTATTAACCCCCTAGATCCAACGAAGTTGGGACAATATTGGGCTTGTTGTTGTTGTTGTACGTTGTTAGTTATTCAATTTGAAAATATGTCATCATTGTTATGTTCTCATTCCGTTGAATGCTAATTGATTGCAAGCTACAATCTATTCTATACACATACAAATTGAAACTTTCATTTGATTTGATTGCTCAACTTTTAACTACTGTAACATGTAATCTATGTTTGAATGTTTTCTTTCTTTACATCAGAGAGGGAAAAAAGTGCAACAAAAGAAGCATTTTGTATTTTGGAAAAGGTTATTCTCAGTAATTCTTTTATTTAATTACTTCTGTAGATCAATGTGCTTTCATGTTTTCTTGTTCTTTTTGCTTTATATCCTTGCCAACAAACATCTTTTTTCTTCTTTTGCCTTTTATGAGTTAAAAATATATTAGGGGATTAGGGTTATGCAGTTGGTTCATTTTGTTATGAGTTACGTTAGGATATAGGAGACTTGTCTTTGACAGATCTTTCAGGGCAGAGTTTCTCCTAGATAGAAACTCTAGAACCTAGTTTTAAAATGCAAAGAGGTCAGACGCAAAGAGGTGGGGTGCACCGTAGAGAATTGAGGCTCACCTCCTTGCAGATCATTTATATAGCCCATACATCTTATCCTGTGAATTGTGATGAAACACAATGCTCCCTCCGCCCCTTAAAAAACAACACATTTTACGCTATGATGTTTGACCAAATTTATCTTCTAATTTATTTAAATATTCGTGTAAAATTTAAACAATGAAGTTGTGGGAAAGAGTGGTTGAACGAAGGTTGAGACAAGAGACTTTGCTGTCAGAGAACTAATTTGTTTTTATGCTAGGAAGATCAACTACAAAGGCTATATACTTGGTGAGGCAAATGATGGATAGGTACCAAAGTGAGAAGAGAGATTTAGACATGGATTTTGTTGATTTGGAAAAGGCATATGATAGGGTACCAAGAGAAGTATTGTGGAAGGTGTTAGAGAAAAAAAGGAGTAAGGATTGCCTGTATTCGTGTGATTAATGACATGTACGATGGTGCTTCAACGAGTGTGAGAAGTCAAAGTGGGTAAAGGTGAATTTCCCATCTGTATAGGAATAACCAAGGGTCATCGCTAAGCCCATATCTTTTTACGCTAGTATTAAAAGTTCTTATCGAGTATATTTAAAATTTTGTACCCTAGTGCATGTTTTTTTGCAGATGACATCATACTTATGGACGAATCATGAGAGGATATAAATGGGAACTAAAACAGAGTATACGGAGTGCAAGTTTATCAACGGAAGGAGAAATAATTATATGAAGATGAAAGTCAGAAATAATACTATACCACAAGTGAAGAGATTTAAATATGAAGTTTATCAATGGTAGGAGAAATAATTATATGAAGATGAAAGTCAGAAATAATACTATACCACAAGTGAAGAGATTTAAATATCTTGGGTGTATCATTCAAGACAATGCAGAAATAAAAGATGATGCAAAATTCAAGACGGTTGGTCAAAATGGCAGAGTGGTTTGGGCTTTATATGTGACAAAAAAGTACCTTTAAACTAAAGGGAAAATTTTACCGTAATACGATTAGACCAACTATGTTGTATGGAACATAGTGTTGGGCAGAAAAAGGTGAACATGAACACAAGGTTAGTGTGGCCGAAATGAAGATGCTTTGATGGATGAGCGATCATACGCGTATGGATAGAATAAGGAATGAAGATATGAGAGCTAAAGTTAGAGTGACACCTATTGTAGAAAAGATGGTGGAAACTCATTTTAGGGCGTTTGGACATCTGGAGAGAAGACCAATAGAGCATTCGGTGAGAAGGGTTGATCAAATGGTAAATAGACATATGGCTAGAGGAAGAGGTAGACCCAAGAAGACTTGGCACAAAGTGGTCAAGGGAGACCTTCGTGTGAATGATCTCACTGCAGATATGGTGCATGATAGGGTTACTGGCGTCGTTTGATCCATGTAGCCGACCCAACCTAGTGGGATAAGACTTTGATTTTGTTGTTGTTGTTTTGTTGTGTATTCATGTAAAATTTGAACTTAAAATTTATTTATTCAAAAACTACATCAAAAGTCTTACTCCCGCCATCCCAAAAATAAGTTCTTAAGTTGACCCGACACAATTAGTTAGGAGAGCTTAAAATAAGTTTGACTTTCCTGAACTGCCCTTCTACCCTATTCACCACTAAGTCTTGAATGATGTTGATGGAAAAAGGACAATTCACACTACTGCAGATATCTGTTTCTCCATCAGATTATCTAACATTGGATGCTCAATGTTTATTGCTCTTAGCCTCTATGATTCAGCCCATAGTCACAGAATTCGCTCCCAGAGCCGCGACTTCCGTATTGGTACGATTCGTACCCAATCGCAAGTTGCTTACGATCCAATCGCAACCGGCACGGCGATCGAAATCGCGATGGTACGGCGCTCCCAATCGTGATTGTATGGCGATCCCAATCGCGATGGTACGGCGATCCAAATACCTAGGTACGTCGCACCCATCGCCGTCGGTACAACGTACCAGTGGCGACTTCCTCTTCCCAGCAAAGCAACGTCGACTTCCTCTTCCCAGTTTGCCTCTTTCCCTTTTTGACGATTTCTCTTTCCCAAGTCTTCGTAAATTGAGTATGTTCCACTTCCTAGGCACGTTCCACTTTCCCAATTAAATATTTCTCTTTCCCATTCTCGTCATTTAATATTTAATTTAAAATTCAATTCACAATTAAATATTATACTTATTTTTATCTATTTTTGTTTACTTATGTTTTGACTTTTGGTATGCCGAACCGAATACATGGTACACCGTACCGCTTCGTACCGAAATGAACATACCCCCCTTCGTACCGAATTCGTTACCTCTAGCGAATTTCGTACCCGTACCACGTACCCGTACCGAAACGTACCGTGATTTATGTGACTATGATTCAGCCCTGCAGTGAAGCCATGGAATCTCTACTAGATCAGTATGGTGATCTATTTGAAGAACCATGTAATCTACCTCCAATTGGACAAGGGTATGATCATAAGATTCCTCTCAAAATAGGGGCCCAGCCTATTAACAGAAGACCTTACAGGTACCTTGCTGTTCAGAAAAACATAATTGAGAAGAGGTGAATAAATGTTGAATAAAGGAATAAGTCATACTGTCAGAGTAACAGCAGTCCCTATGCTTCCCTGTGGTGTTGGTTGGGAAAAAGATGGCATCTGGAGGCTTTGTGTGGATTACAGTGATTCAACAATCACACTACTAAATATAAGTTTCCCATACTTTTGTTGGAAGACTTATTGGATGAGTTAGGATGATCTACTGTCTATACAAACTGGACCTAAGATCTGGGTATCACCAATTAAGAATGTGTTAGGATGATGCGTACAAGATAACATTTAAAACTAGAATTAATTCAGGATCTAAATTAAGACTAAATAGAACTCTCCCTCCCTTCTCTCAGTAAGTATCACTGATGAAAAAGGAATAGAAGCTAAGAGAATCTCAATGTGATTAATGGTTTATTTTCTGGATATCTCAACAATAGAGAAGTTGGGATATTTATAACAACTCTAACAAACTGATAAGATCAAAAGTAACAAAATGATCTGATAAGATCAAAACAACAAAGTGATAAGTTCTAACTAACTAAGCTATCCTAGGGCCTCAGGACTCCTAATAACCTGAGAGTTCTTTTGTTTAATAAATGTAAAACAGTAACAAACTCAATTGACGCACACATAATAATATAACTAAGGTGGCCTTCTGCTATCAGTGATCCGGATCTTATCATTACTCCCCTCTCTGAAAACACGTTGTCGTCAAGGTGGAAGTCTGGATGTTGGTGTTGTATTAAGTCATTGAGATTCAAAGGAGATTCTTCCTCTACTCCTAACTGCAACTTAAGAGACACCATTGAATTTAATCTAATGCTTTGATCAACTTTCGAGATGCCTTGTAATTTATATCGCTTCCCAACCTAAAAAATCAAAAACATTTCATTCCTGTTTGCTTGAATGGTATTCAAAGAGGCTAAATCCAACCCGTGAAAATGGGTAAAAATCTTGGGTAAGAGTCAAACCTGGAAGCCTAACTGAGACGGACTCGCAAATTCGATCACACTAAATAATAAAACCGCCTCCTATCTGTACCTCAAATGTTTGAATAGAGGAAACAAGTAGCTTAAGTTGTTGCACAAGTTTTTCAGAGATAAAGTTGTGTGTTGAACCGCTATCAATTAACAAGAAAACTTCATGTCCATGTAATTTTCCACTTAGTTTCATTGCGGCGGATGTTTGCGTCCACAGAATCGCATTAGTGGACACTTCCTCCTCTCTTGCCTCCCCATCAATGGGAACGTATTTGGGATTCATCGGGTTACCTTCCTCATCAACTTCCGTCTAGGAGAAGGTAGTGGATGAAGTCGAACAACGGTGACCCGGCCTAAAGGGATTGCCACACCGATAGCAAAGTCGCTTATCCCCGCGTTGTTGCTTCATCGACTTGTCCCTACTAAATCTTAAAACTGGCAAGGTTGGTGTTGAGCCTGAAGATCCTGAGAATGCAAGTGGTTGGGGCGAGTGAGATTGGGACAAGTTTTTTACCTCTCGGTTTGGGTCAATGGTAGAATCTGAACCAGCACCCCGACCCGATCCCATAGAACTTGTCTTGAAATGCAGAGGTGTATTCCGTTTCTCAAACCCAAGGGCTAGACTAGAAGCCCTGAACACATATTTGGGTTTGTGGATTCTGACCTCCGACCTCAAATCCTCTCTCAAACCAGCAACAAAGACACCCAAGAGTCAGGCCAATTTCAGACTCAAGCAACCCTTCTTGCCCACTCTTGACGATAGTCGTGTATGGAGCCTGTTTGTTTGATTAAGATAAGGTGTTCACCTGGGTTCAATTATTCTGGTGGTCCATAATGCTCCTCAATGATTTTGATGAATTCTTCCTAGTACAAGAGCGACCTTTCGGCATTGATCCAAGAGAACAAGTCAAGAGCGTCACCCTCCAGTCTCAACCTTATCTTCTTCTGATGTTCCATAGTAACGGAAGTACTTTTCAGCCTTCAACACCTGGCCCCGTGGATCTCCGCCGCTGAATTTAGGGAACTCAACTTTGGATCTGGGAAACCGGTGATGGCTGTGATCGTTTTCATCTTCAGAATCATCAATATAATGCTTCATCTTCGTCTTCCCAGAGTTACTTCTGGCATGCGCTTTTAGGGCAGTCAGTTCTGCCTTGACATCTAACAGCGCTTTTAGAGTTACTTCTGCCTTGAGGTCATCTAACAGCGCTTTTAGGGCTGTTATGCATTACTTCTGTGTGGCTATTATGCATTGCATGATAGCCATTGGCCACCCATTTGGAGGGGGGATTAGGGCGGGGCTGGGGTGGGGCTAGGGTGGGGGGTTTAGGTGGTGTGTTAGGGGGGTGGGAACCATCGATTTTCCGATTGGAGCACCGAAGGTGCTCCAAAAATGTAGTGGCACTGCTAGTTACACCGCGGCGAGTGTCAACAGAATCCCACTCTATTAATATTTATAGTAGAGTCAGTTTGGGTCATTTGTTTATGAAGTCATATATTTTATTTTATATATGTTAGTTACTTAGTTATTAAGTAGTAAATAATGTGTAAGCGGCCCTGAATTCTAGGAGTAGTTGCTAAGTAATGTGGTAGTGAGCCTAAAGTCTAGGAATAGTTACTAGGTAATGTGGTAGTGGGGCTTGATTCTAGGGATTGTTAGTTAATTGGCTTCTATAAATATTGAGGCTCATTATTTGTAAAAGTTGTCGAGAAAGTAATTCAATATTTATTATTGGAGATTCTTCTTGGCTATATTACTTAAATGAGTTTAAGATTCTTGCTCATATTTTTATAAAGGCTTTTCTTTTATTATTTTATTAAGTTAGATGCTGAGTTCATAATTCAATAAAAACTATCCTTCATTTATTTTCCCTGCCACTCTTGAGTTCTATCATTTGGTATCAGAGCCAAAGATCCTTATGGGTTCCTTCTGCAGAAACTCAGTTTCTCCATTTTCTCAATATAATTCCTCATCCAAGAGTTTTACTCTTTATGAAGTACACCAATTGCTTTACGTTGTAGCTTGCCTTGATGTCATTAATTCCAAACGGGCAGCATCAGAAGTTCATGGTACGACTGTTAATATTTTGACACCCTACAAAAGAATCACATCCAGTAAATTTCATCTAGAGGTTGGAAAGAAGAAAATTCAGAAACAAAGATGCAAGGTTGTTAAATCTAGAGGGCAGTTTAGAAAGGCTACCTTAGCCTTAGGATTTGAGGGGAACTGCATGTTATCATGTAAATATGGTCCAGTGTTATTCTGGTTCATCTCCCATGGAAGGTGATGCAGAAAAAAGAATACCAGAAGCGTTGGAACGCAATGATGAAAGACAAAGGTAAATTTCGAGCCTTCATTCAGGATATCTTCTCTCTTGCAGAAAAAGAGTGTCAGCTGTCAACAAACAGCTCGATACATTCTTCTCCTCACTTAAGAATCTCATGAGAGCTAACAACCGATCCACAATACCCTATGGCAGAAAGGACATAACTACATCTGCCACAATGAGTTCAACGTTCCCTTATATATGTCAACACCAACCTGGAAAATTCTACAGCATTACTCATAAAGATTCATGAACCCTTGGATGGTGGCGTCATGCAAGGATTTGTCCTTGAAGCTTTTATGTCATACCTCGACCCTTTTGTTCAAGGCACCACTGCTATAATTGGAGTTTTTCATTATATTGTCTTCCTACCACCTCTACCGAAACCTCCAGATATACAGAGAAGCTATTGTCTAGATTTTGCCTTGAGGACAAGGCAAATTTTGAAGGAGGGGATAATGATAGAGTGCCAGATTTGCTTTTATTGTATGTTCTTAATATATAGTAGAGTCAGTTTGAGTTATTTGTTTATGACGTCAAATATTTTATTTTATATATGTTAGTTACTAAGTACTCCCTCCGTCCCATAAAACATTTCCTGTTTCAAAAATGGCACGCCTTTAAAATGAGTAATTTTAGTGTTATTTTTTAATTATGACTAATCTATTCTACACATCTCATCCTACTCTTTTATAAAGTAAGGGCAAAATTAGAAAATAACACCAAAATTACTCATTTTAAGGGCGCGCCTTTTTTGAAACAGGAAATGTTTTATGGGACGGAGGGAGTAGTAAATAATGTGTAAGTGGGCCTAAATTCTAGATGTAGTTGCTAAGTAATGTGGTAGTGAGCCTAGAGTCTAGGAATAGTTACTAGGTAATGTGGTAGTGGGGCTTAATTCTAGAGATTGGTAGTTGATTGGCTTCTATAAATATTGAGTCTCATTATCTGTAACATTCTGTAAAAGCTATCCAGAAAGTAATTCAATATATATTATTGGAAATTCTGCTTAGCTTTATTACTTATATGAGTGTAAGATTCTTGCTCATATTTTAATAAAGACTTTTCTTTTACTATTTTATGAAGTTAGATGCTGATTTCATAATTTAATAAAAAACTATCCTTCATTTATTTTCCCTGCCACTCTTGAGTTCTATCAGAGTTGCTCCTTATTCTGGCAAGGTAGAGGCAGTAAGAAGTTTGCCAGTTCTTAACTTCCTACTACCTTAAAGCAATTAAGGGGATTTTTGGGTTTATCTGGTTACTACAGAAGGTTTATCCAAGGTTATGGTACGATTGCCAAGCCCCTAACTGGCCTCTTGAAAAAGGGCCAGTTCTCTTGGAACAAGGAAGCACAATTAGCTCTGGGTACTCTGAAGAATCTACTATGTGAAGCACCCATACTTGCTTTACCTGATTTTTGCAAAACTTTTGTCATAGAGACATATGTCTCAGCTTATTGCATATGTGCTGTGTTAATGCAAGATGGTCATTCTATAGCTTACATAAGGAAAGCTTTGAGTCTACAAAATCAAGCCAAATCAGCTAATTATAGGGAATCAATTGCAGTAGTGTTTGCAGTGCAGAAGTGGGGGCCCTTCATTATTAAGACTGGTCAAAAGAGCCTCAAATATTTACTTGAGCAAAAAATTTCTGCACACCTTGTCAACAAGCATTGACACCAAGCTAATGGGATACAACTTTGGGATTATCTATAAGAAGGGGCAAGATAACAATGTTGCTGATGCATTATCAAGGTTGCCACCTCCTTCCCTGCTACTGCTAGCTCTTATTGAAGAAGGTACTGACCTATATCAGAGAAAATCAGCTGCTTGGCAAATAGATCCTAGTCTACAGAATATGATTAAGGAGTTCGAAGTAGATCCAACTTCACATAAACAGTTTACCTGGGTTAATGGCCAGCTAAGGAGAAAGGGAAAGCTAGCTATTGGAGCAATAAAGGAACTGAGACATGAACTGATGTTATGGTTTCATAACTCCCCTATTGTAGGCCACTCAGGCAGGGACGCTACCTTACATAAAATACAAACATTGTTTTATTGGGAGGGAATGAAGAAAGACATTCAAGAGCACATTCAAAACTGTGATACATGTCAGCCATATAAGTATGGCAACTCCACGTATCAAGGTTTATTACAACCTCTCCCAATTCGAGAGCTGGTTTGGTGTGTATGCAAACCTTACCCCTACTCGAAAGTAGAGAGGCTGTTTCCAAGAGACCCCGGTTCAAGCTGTGCAAAAAAACTAAGAAAGGTCAAAGGTCACATTAGATACATATAGCAGAGAAAGCACAGATACAACACAGACAAAGAACCAATTTGAAGCACTATTATAATAAGAATTTGAAACAAATATTAATGTTAAGAAGACCCCTGTGCTGAGATGGTTCCACGGGCCTGTCCACGAGCTTGTTTCACATTCTTAGAGTGACTCTAGAAGAAACTAAGCAAACACTGAGACCATGTTGCATATTTTTTTTCTTTTTTCGCTACTATGAGGTTTTGTATTAGCAAATCGGTTTGGCTTTAAAGTGAACATTTAAATGGAAAATGTTGATGACAGTATTTTCTGTTAATTAACAAGAATTATGGCACCTCAATGTCATGTGTATTCATTACTAAATGATAATTAGAATACCTAGAGTGAATACTTGTCTGCTTTTAGCTGTTTTGAGAAATGATCATTGTTGTTATATTTTAATATTTTAAATATTAGTATTTGCTGGCCCATGAACGTCGAAGTCCTTCAAGTTTCCTTCTCAATATCTTAAATGTCTTATAATGTATACAAAATGTTCTTCGTGATTGTTTTTTGTAAACCGATCTTTGTTAAGGTAATGAACTAAGTAACAGTAGCAACTGCTTACAATATCATTTTACAGTATATTCTAAATTCTGATGCTAAAAGAAGGAGAATTTGTACTGTGAATGGAGACTCTGAGAGCATAGAGTGCAAGGATTCTGGGTGTAAAAATGAAATGCCGGATACTAGTCTTGAAAAAATCAGTGAGTTCTTTCAGCGTATTTGAGCTTTTAGTTCTAAAACCTCATTTAGTATATATTCAGGACACTATGACTAATTACTAACGACTATCAACATTTAACTGCATATTGACCGTTCTATGCAGAGTCTGATACCTGTTCAGAAAAGAATCATGACCTTTCATTAGTGAAGTTGACAAGGAATGGGTTGCTCCTCTTTATGTTTCCATGTGGAAAGTCTCCTCCAGTTGTCAATATTTTGTTTGACATTGTCCAGTCACTGGATTCTCAACGTTCAACCATGCCACGGTACCTCCCTCCCCTCACTGTGCATCCTCTTATTTTACGGTGATGGGAAAGATGCATGTTGTTTTCTTACCCTAACTGCATACTTCTATATGGTAATGAAGATTTTTATGATGCATGCCTTTATGCGACAAGTGCTCATTACTGCAAAACAGAAATGATGTTTTATCCTGTTCCTTCTGTTGTTCCTAGCATAAGAGACTCTAGTAATTTCTATGTATTATTGGAGTAATGCTGACCTTAATCCTCAACCTGTAATATGAAGTGGTATGTCTTTAAGCCTCTACATGACAGAGGGCATACAACAACAACCAAGCCTTATTCCACTAGGGCATAAAGAAAAAAAACAGAATTCTGGAACTGAAGCCTCAACGTGTAAAAAATTAGATTTTATTTTATGTGCTCGTATTTGTTTGTTCTCTATGCACCCCAAGTGTTTTCCCTTATGTTTATTGTTGTAGAAGTTTACGTAGTGGAAGCATAATGATAACATTCCATCAAAAAAAAATTTCGTAAATTGTTTTGAATTATTAAATTCTATTATAAAAAGTGTGTTTCAACAAAGTGCAATTTGCATTTCTAATTATTAGAGAAGGATATGGAATTGTGATGATCTGGGTTTGGTCTTTGTAATCTATTCTATTCTCATGCTTTGTTGGATTGTTGAAACAGTAGTTCACTAGCTATTGTTGTAGTAGAATGATCATTTATGCTGATAATATATTTTTTAAGCTATACAATTAGAAACCAATGTCCTCCTGGACTACCTTTCTCTTAACAACGTCCTACCAATTTAAATCTCACACGTCCCTTTGAACATTTTCCACATTCATATATTCATTTTTGTTTTTTTTGAGCATGCTGTTTCCATCACTTAATGCAGCTGGTGCAATCGAATATTCCCAATCCAAGGCACATGTGTCTTAGATGAGAAAGAACTTCCATCGATAGTTTCCAAGCTTGTTAATGGGTTTATGATTGACAACCGAAACAAACTTGGCCAACCTGTTAAGGTAATGTAATTACTTCACTAATTTATGATGATAGTTTATTTGTTTAAACTCTGATCAAACCCAGCCGCTCACATGTCTCCCACTTGAAGGCTGAAGCCCTACATCCTGCTTGACTTGCATGTGTTAAGAGTGCCACCAGCACACAGTCTATCGAATGCCTAAAAAAACACTTTTAAAAATGTAAGAACTCAATAGTCTTAGTTAGAGTGATGCTAGGGGGAAACTATGGGTTATCCCATGGTACACTATCACTATGAGATCATCATTTTTCTCTTGCCCCATGACGTTAAATATTAGTTCATTTAAGGACATAGATGTAGTTTCATATGACTCTGGTCTCATAAAGGTACACTATGGGATCATTTAGTATTTTTCTTCAATTTATTACAAATTTGAAGTCGAGCCGTTACTGATTTTGCACGCCTGTATAAAGACCCAGAGGAGCAAGGAGAGGATAGGAGACTGTTCTAGCATGCCAAGGCACATGAGGAGAAAGGACGGGATCTAAGGCATGTGCATTATGTGAAAAACGAAGATGGTAGGTTGTTATTCAATGTGGTTGAGGTTAGAAACAGATGGAAGACATGTTTTTATGGGCTTTTAAATGTTGCCAGGGCTGAGAGCTTGCTTTTAGGCACACTAGGGCAGTTTGAGAGGCATCGAGAGTTTGGATATTGTGGGTGCATTTCCCAAGCTTAGGTGGTTAGGGCCATTCACAGAAGGAATGGGGCAAGATTAGATTCCGGTGGTGTTCTGGAAGCTTGCAGGGAACAATGGGTTGGCACGGCTCACTAACTAATTTAATGTTATTTACAAGAAGGCGACGATGCCTAGTGAGTGGGGAGAGAGAGTGCTTGTCTTGTTGTACAATAGCAAAAGGGATATCCTGAAGTGCGAGAATTATAGAGGGATCAAACGTTTTAGTCACAACATGAAGGTTTAGGAACTGATCATCGAAGCTAGGTAGAAGCAGGCAGCTATTTCAGAGAATATGTTTGCCTTCATGCCTGGCCGATCTGCTACAGTCCCGAGTTTGATGGATAAGTATATAGTTAAGAAGAGATACCTAAACATGGTGTTCATTGACTCTGAGAAGACCTATGATAGGGTGCTGAGGGAGATCTCTTAGAGATGCCTAGAGTTTAGAGGGGTACTGATTGCTTACATCCGTGCAATCAAAGACACGTTGGAGCTAGACTCAGAGTGAAGGTTACCTTGGGTGCTTCCTTTGCGGTGGAGATGGGTCTACACCAGGGGTCTAGCCTCAGTCTTTTCCTGTTGGTGATGTATGTTCTCACGCAGGATATCCAAGTGGAGGTGCCTTGGTGCATCTTTTTTGTTGTTATTGTGCTGATTGATGAAACATGAGAGGGACTCAATAAGAAGCTGAAATTATGGCGTCAGTCCTCAGAATCCTTTTGTCTGAGTAAGACTAAGACTGTATGTGGAATGCTCCCTCAACTGTGAAGCGAATGAGTCAGAAGTAGAAAGTTAGGATTGGTTCTTACTCAGTGCCAAAAGGGACATATTTCGGTACCTTGAGTCGATGATCCGGGCAAATGACGAGTTAGAGGGGGGATGTTGTTCATCGTATTGGAGCCGCCTTGTCAAAGTAGAAGCTAGCCTCAGGTGTCCTTTATGACAAGAAAATATTCACGAACATGAAAGTTTTATTGGGCAATGGTCAGGCCGACTATGCTATATGGAGCAGAATGCCGAGCAGTGAAGAAAGCTCACGTCCATCTACAGAGATAAGGATGCTAGGGTGGATGTGTGGGCATGCACAAATGGATAAAATTCAAAAGGAGGTTATTCGGGGAAGGGTGGGAGTGGCTTCTATTGCGGAGAAGTTGCGGGTAGCTAGACTTCAGTGGTGTGGTCATGTTCGGAAGAGGGGTGTTGAAGCCCGTGTTAGAAGGTGGTAGAGGCTTATTGTAGTAGGGGTAAGTAAATCGGGGTAGAGGTAGACCTATGAAGAGTTAGGGGAGGTGATAAGGCAGGATTTACGATTCCTCAATCTCACCAAGGATATGACCTAGAGATCCAAAATTACTGTAGTTGGGTAGATCCGGTAGCCTTCGTTCATACTTTTGGCCGGTGTGTATTTTTTTAACCTTTGTGCCTATGTGCTTTGGTTTTTGCAAACTTTTAGTTTTCACTTATGTGTTTCTCTCCTCTTTTTTGTTAGTTCTTTGTTAGTGTATTGTAATTTGCTTGCCAATACTGTTTTTTGAGCAAGGGGTCTCTTGGAAACAACCTCCCTACTTTCTAGTAGGGGCAAGGTTTGCCTAAACTTAGGTCTTGTTCTCTTCACTTGGCTGGATTGGTTCTGATATGATTGGAATACGTTCTGATCTGATTAGATTGTAGATGTATTTGAAGTTGTTTTCGATCTAATCTGGTTGATCTAATTTGATTTGAATGAGAATAAGTAATAAGTAATAAGAATAAGTTGAAGAGAACAATCTCTTACGCTCTCGAGACCCTACTTGTTGGATTTTACTGGGCTGTTGTTGTTGTTGTAGGCAGTTACTGAAGGATAACCAAAATTCTAAAACTATTTAAAAAGGGAACTACAAACCAACCATATAGACATAATTCTTAAAAGGGAACTACATGCTAATCTTATGTACAAATAATGTTTCAGAGATACTTCATGTTTCTTAGTCTTACATTTTTAGATGTACTTTTTAAAGATCAATTTGAGGGGGTATAATGTAACTCGTGCCGCAGCTGCAGTAGCCTTGGAGGATTAACCTTCACCATCCTGTTTACAATGTGGATAGAATATCGCCACAAAACCACTTGGTGGAAACCTTTTGCCCTGGCCAATTTTAAGTCTCTTAAAACTGCTCATCACTCTGCCTCAAACCTGCAAGAGACGCCCATCATCCAATTTCATATTTCATCTCAAATGCCCCCACATCCCACAATCCATAAATACCCTGATATTTTATACTCCCTCCGTCCGCCATAGATCTTCTCAAATGCCCATTTTATTTGTCTGCGAAAGATCTTTTCATTACCTTTTTAAACATTTAAACAACCACAACTACCCCCACTTCTTTTATTTATTACACCTCACACACCTATCACTCCCTCCTAAGGTCCACACGTATTTTATGGACCTTAGTATCTAAATGTCTTGGATGAATTGGGCTCTTTGAAAAAAGTAAAAGATCTTCATTTCAGCCCATGAAAAATATGAGAAGGTCCACATTTCACATGTGGACCTTAGGATCATGGAAGCCTAACTCCCTCATTTAGCATACTACACCACCTTTCATTAAAGGTGTTTTAATAAACTTCTACTTTTTTTAAACTCTCCTTTAAGACCACAAAAAGTCAACTTGAGAAGAATAGAAGATATATGACGGACGGAGGGAGTAGTTTCCATTAAAGCAATCATATACTCCATATGTCCCGTTGATTTCTTTACTGTGTGGTTCACAATGTTTGACTGATGTTATTTTTAACTTCTTTAATTTAAACATTGGTCTTAAATGATCTTTTATGTATTTTAAAACTACATCAAAAGATCTTCAAAACAAGAAGTGACATGACTATATTATTTTATCAAATGATAGATGAAAATATGTAAAAAAGAGGATAGTTTGACCGCATGAATAGAAATGGTAACTAATCCAGCATAACAGTGGGAGTATATTTATTAAAGTATCACCCACACTTATAATGGTTCACTCTAGGGAAGGGGACATGCCTGACTCACAAATCTTACCGGCCTATAAGGTCCACCTAGGTTTTTAGGTTTAGCAAAAGCATAATTTGTTTTTTGGTTACTTTGTGCTTTTAAATATTATTATAAAAGTTTAAATTTGAAAGGCTGATGATTATGAGCATAATACAAATTTAATTATTACTTAATTATACTCCCTCCACTCCCTAAAATGCTTCATTGTTTGACGTTTTTGGTCAAAATTTGAATAGTTTGACTACAAGTCATGAAAAAGTATATTTAGTTATAATGTAAATTTAGTATGGTTTTTTTCATTTAAAAATGTAGTTTTAATATATCAAATATGCCTAGCATTTATTTATTTAAAATTATACTTCGTATTTGTTAATGCTCAAAGTGTGTTCCCAGTTGACCTAAAAAGTCAAATTATGAAGATTTTTACGGAACAGAGGGAGCATCAAGCCACATTGCTTTATATTGCATACATTGAACCATCCAAACTTGTGAAAACCAAATTGTAGTGGTTTGCAGTTTCATTGGAAGTAACGCGAACTGCTAAACATAGTGTTAACATATGTTGATTTGGTGGAAATTGGTGTTTCTCTAGATAGTTGAATGTCGAAGGTCAATATTGACCCTTTAAAAAAATTAAAGATTATTATTATTACTTTTGTAACAAATTATAACTGTCATTTCAAGTGGAGTTATACTTGACATAATATTTTTTGTTTATTTCTTTAATAATGCGAGTTCCTTGGATTCTTCACTGCTCCCATCATCTCTTTTGCTTCATGTTCATCAAGTGGTTCATATGAAAAATGTTTTTGTAGTTTGCAGTTGGATATAACAAAAGGGGCATTGAAGAGTGTGAGATGAAAAATACAAAAGGAAACAACAACGATAATAGTTCTGCTTTGATGCACCGTAATACATGCTTTAGTGTTGTTGCAGCGATAGTGAAAGATATTGTCCCCAATTCAGTTGTAGACCTGAAGTACCCAGAGGTGAAATTCCCTCCTGTTTATTGAGAACTGCAATGGTTTTGCTTGTTTGCGTCTTCTCATGCGTTTTGAACACATTGATACTTTTGCAGTTTGCTGTTCTTATTGAGTTACTACCGATATCTGGGATTCCCGGTGGGTTATCAGTGGGTGGTGTATCTATTCTTCCAAAGGAACTGTTTCGTACGAAACCACGGCTGACCGTCAAGTCTTTGGTCGTTGATACAAAGGCAAAGGACGGGAAAACAAGCGAATAAGGTCATGTTTTTCAATTGTTCTACGAAAATTTGTCCATCTTGTGTTGAAGGCATACTTTTTGGTTCAATGTAATCTGGTCCGGTTTATAATTAATTATCTTATTTACAAAAAATAATTGGACTGCTTTTAAGGGCTCTACAATACCGATGTGACAAAGTCTGATTAAGCACCCATTCCGCAAAACTTATTTTTTTTAGCTTATTACTTATTAAAATTAGATCAGACCAAATTAGATCAAATCCAATTAGATCACACCAGATCAAAAACAACTTTAAATTTTATATATATATATATATATATATATATATATATATATATATATATATACACACATATATATCAACTATATATATTAAAAAATGTCTATCACATCCACGACTTTTGCATCTCTCTACTCCAGGAAGGTAACGACAATTTAAGTATTGAATTTAACTATATTAAATATTCATAGATGATAACAGTTAACTATGAAATGATATCAAGTGTTGACTCAAGTCAAACTTTTGTACTCGGAAAGAGACAAAGGAACAAACAAAAAGTATATGACTCTCTGATACGTTATCAATGTGCTCATTGCATCGCGAGATTAATGAAACGAAAAAATCTATCTACGATGCAAAGTTGCGTGGCACGAGACGACCCAGAAGAAACGTTCAGTGTAGACTCTGCAAACAGCATTTGTGGATCCAGTGTTGAAGACCCCTTGGTAGATTTGAGACGATCCAACCATTCAAATGCAAATGTTTAGAATTTATCATGTTTTTTCTGTTCAAATCCTTTGATTATACCAATATTGTAATCATTTGCAATTCTGTCATGAACTCAACTACTCAAATAAAGAATCCTAATAAAGAAATTTTTGTTATTTCTATAATGAGTCAAGAAACTGCCCATTGACAAGGCAACAACAATGAGCATGTGAGTGTTCATACTGAAGCGTCTAGCTTCACTCCTATCCAAAACGAGCCTGTTCCTCATGAAATGTTGCTAAAGAATTTTTGTGCGATCGTATCACAGAACCCCAAATTACTTGGGACTGGATCAAAAAGACTGCCCGATTGTTAAGAGATCTGAACATACCTCTTAACAATTACACGAGACTTGGAGCACAATTACTTCGTGGAGAAGCCTACGAGTGGTGGAAACGCACTAACGAGAGCGACGAAACCCCGAAACCATGGTCATGGAAATTCTTCGATTGGGCATTCAAGGAGTACATTCCAGCACGTTTTCGTGAAAGAGAAACGTACGGAATTTGTTGAACTGCAACAAGGGGATATGACGCTTCCCGAATATCGCCAAAAGTTTGTCCATCTTGCCAAATTCGCACCGATGTTGGTAAGCACCATAGCTGACTGCATTGAGGAGTTCAAGTCAAAACTCCGACCTGATCTCAGAGCGCCAGTATCCATCATACCAATGGTAGATTTTACTACAGCCTATGATATAATTGTCAAAGCGGACAAAGATTTGAGTGCCTGCAAGGAATACCTGAAAAAGGAAAATGCTGGTTCAAGTGATCGTCCACCTGCCGCCCGAGGAAAAAGACTGTTCCAAGAGCTAAGCAGCTCGCATGATTCTAAGAAGGGGAAATCTGTGCAAACCCAGTCAATAGCATCTATTGATAGGCCAAGGAAGTGGAAGCATCCGATGTGCGGATATTGTGGAAGAAATCACCCTAGAGAGTGCTTGCTTATACATGGTTTGTGTCTGGGTTGTGGACAACCAAGACATTTCCGATAGTAGTGGCCCACAAATCTTGGAGAACCATTCCCACCTGCCCCAGTTGTTAGTAAGGCGGCATTGACATGACCTGCACATAAACAACGCTTAACTGCGGGATCTAATCCTGCTAAGAACAAGACCTAGCAATAAGGAAGAGCTCATGGCCGTACCTATGCAATGAAGGCACGCGCTAAGGAAAACCCTGACATCATTCAAGGTATGTTTTGCTTATTTGATACTGTCATGCATGTGTTGATAGACTCTGGATCGACATTATCTTATATATGTGTACATATGCCTAACAAAGCTGACATACTGAAAGAAGACTTAGAACACCCTATATTAGTGTCTAACCCGTTAGGACACAGTATGAGGTTACATCACGTGTATCAAGATTGTCCGTTGATTGTCAAAGGACAATAATTCTCTGCAAATCATATTGAATTACCGTACAAAGAATTTGACATCATCCTCGGAATAGATTGGCTCACTGAGCACCAAGCGGTTATCGATTGCTGACGACGAGTGATACAACTGGAAACCAAAGATGGAAAATCCATAGAAGTGAAAGAAAAGCTAACACCTAAACCTACTGAATTCATCTCGTATATACCCGCTAAACTTCTCATCCGTAAGATGTGTGAAGCCTATCTGTGTAATGTACGTGACACACAAAAAGAAACTCCTGAGTTGAAGGATATACCGACGGTATGTAACTTTCCTGACTTATTCCTTGATGAACTTCGTGGTATACCATCTTCCAGAGAAGTAGAATTTTCCATCAATCTTGTTCCTCGAACCGAACCAATATCTACAACTCCCTATCGTATGCCTCGTGCTGAAATGAAAGAGCTAAAGGCTCAATTACAAGAATTGCTTGATAAAGGATTCATACGACCAAGTGTTTCCCCATGGGGAGCACCTGTTCTGTTTGTAAGAAAAAAGGATGGCTCGATGAGACTCTGCATCGATTATTGTCAATTGAATAAAGTTACAATAAACAATCGTTATCCTTTACCACGTATCGATGACTTATTTGATCAGCTTAGAGGATTCACTGTGTTCCCTAAGTTGACTTACGGTTAGGATACCATCAAATTCCTGTCAAGAAAGAGGACATCCCAAAAACTGGGTTCTGTACTTGTTATGGTCATTATGAGTTCACGGTGATGCCCTCTGGTGTGACCCAGTGCCTGTTGAATATAAGTGAGCCCTAGAGGCCAACTTATGATTCCATATTTATGATATCAAGAAGAATAGGCCCTAAAGATTGTTTAAGTCGTCTCGTGTGATTTAAACATAGCTTTAGTTCATAGAGTAGGCGGTCTAGTAACATAGATGAGAACTAAGACGTTCTGATTATGAGGCTGTTACAAAGATAGATGGTACGTCTAAAATATCCTTAGTCGAATATTATGATAATACGGACATCATAATATATCAAGACTAATACGTATGAGATGAGATAGCTGCGTCTCATAGGCTATAGATAAAGTGTTATCTGAATCTATACGTAGGCAAACATATTGGATATATTGCTGGGTTGACCCGCTATGAGAATAATATATGGGTTTAAGTTATAGTGTTAATATTATTCTCAAGCGACCATTAGTATAACTATCCTTCGACTTGAAGTCATTACGATCTTTGATAAGTTGAGTTACATATATTGAAGCATAGTTTATGTCATCTGAAATATTGGTGGATGTACAATTATGTTTTGGGTATGCAATGCAACTTAAGTGAAGATGTGAATGACATAGATAGAATTTATCCCTTCTTTGATGAAGTACAATATCTTAGGGCCCACTGATTGATGTGACTTGAGAAGTGCATGGCCATGCCCAAATAAATATGTTATTTGAATTCCACAAGTCAATCGAAAAATCAGTAAACCATCGATTTAACTATAACAAGGTGACACATCCCATACTTTGTGTTAAATCAAGATATTAGTGATAAAGGGATAAGAGTTATACAAATAGGATGTGTCATTGAAGGAATTGTTCCAAGAGCTTTAATCTATAATTTGGGGGTGATAATGTAGTGCTAGATACTGCTTATTACTTGTAGTATTCAATACGATTGCCAATTTTATAGATACCTAGAATAGGGTCACACACATAGAACATATGAAAAGTATAAAATATTTAAGTGGAGTAAAGTTGTACTTTATTTATATATATTGTGTATATTACATTGTGTGACAATATTATTAGATACACAAACATAAAAATAAATAAATATTTATATTTGGACATTTTAATTATGTCATAATTAAGTTTGTCAAATATAATTAATAATAATAAATAAATATATATTCAGATATATATATGTATAATAAATTTTTTATTATTTTATTATTATTATTGAGACACAAAATATATATTTATATATATTTGATATTTGGACATTTTAATTATATGATAATTAAGTTTGTCATATATTATTTAAGGAACAAAACATGACATAATTATTATATATGTATATATGTGGGTAAATATATATATCTTTCTATATTATACAAATGTGAAAAAGGGTTAGGTACCCCTTAATATTATGCACCTTTTCCATCCATATAACATGTACCATTAGCTTTAAAACTTGTACCATGCAATTTATACCCCAAAAAGCCCTTAATACCGTTAGTTATATTTAATCCCCTGATTCTCTAATTCACAATTATAGAGATGCTTTATGATGCTTTATAGCCTATACGCCACAATTGTAGAGTATTATTATTATCATTATAAAAAAGTATTCAAAGTAATCCCAACTTTACCTGGTCATGAAAAAATAATCTTATATTTTACTGTGATGCATAATAATCTCAACTCTACTAAAATTTGCGAGTTTTCGGTTGGCATTAAGTTGCTAACAGCGGGTTAACGGAAACAAGATTTTTTACGTAACAAACTGAAACTGGGATTATTTTTGATCAATTTGTATTTTTTTATTTTTATTTTTTAAATTTTCATTTAAATTTTAAAAATTACTTTCTAAATTCATTTCTCTTTCTTTTTTAAAAGATTAGTCTTACCTTAGAAAAAGTAAAAAAATAGGTATACAAAATAACAAAAATGAGAAAAATAACTCAGACAATACAAAATTAATGAAATAAATAAGGTAATCAATAAAATATAAGGTAATCAATGAAATTAATCTGAAACTTGTAAGAAATAAAATAAAAATATAAGGCGTGGAGGGTTTTAATATTTTACGCACTATACATAGTATTAATGTACTGCTACTTTTTTTTTAAAGAATGGGTAAATTTGGGATTATTCTTTATACTTTCGTTTAAATATATGAAGAGGTTGTACATTAATACCTTGTATAGTGCGTAAAATGTAAAAACACACCACTCCATAAATTTTTATTTTATTTCTTACCAGTTTCAGGTTACTTTCTATTGATTATC